ACGTATGGCCATTATCGCCCTGGATTAAATAGGAGAAGAGAACAAACAGTCTGGGGCCAAGGCAAGGAGGATAGAAAAAAGTTTATAAACTAGTCAGGGAGAAGTCCCATAAAAAAAAGGATCAATTGTTTGACCATATTAACAACCCATAACTAGTCGAACAACATCCAAGGGCAGGCACAGGAAATGGCAAGTCTCGCCTAACCTGCAGACATTTGAATCCAAATCGAACTCTGTAGCATTGCAGGATTAATAAATAGCCTAAAATTGCCGACTAATAAAATATTGTAAGGAAGAAAAACATCCTGTGTAAGTTCTGCCATAAAAGAAGTGGCAACGTCACTACTTATTAAGTGGAAACGGTGCTCACGAGCAAAGAAAAATCTACTAAACAAACTAAGGAACCATAATCATGCCTAATAAAAAGCTTAAAGCTGTATAGTGAGCTTTATCCTTTATCGTGAAGGATGGCAATAGTCTTATTTTTATTAGAGTTGGCCACTCGCAATATGTTCAAGTCCTGAGCCCAGGAATGTCCGGTTTGCAGAACTGCAATGATCCTGAGGTTCAGCCTTAATGCACCAGATCTATAGTTTAAACGAGTCTTTCTTAACAAGGACTTCTGCCTGTCTGTGAACTGGGATTTTATTCTACAAGTTTTTATCCAAAATCTTTTAACGTATCCTCCTTAAAAGATTAATTCCTATATTTGACTCTGAAAACGAAATTCCTAACCATCAATTTGGGTTTCTACCTCTCCTTTCTACTGTTCAGCAGTGCTTCAGAGTAGTCGACACGATATCTTCGGCTCTAGAAAACAAACAATACTCCTCAGCCGTATTTCTGGACGTTACGGAAGCATTTGACCGAGTATGGCACCCCGGCCTCCTCTATAAGTTAAAATGTATCCTCCCTCATTCCTACTACCTTATCGTGAAATCCTTCCTCTCAGATCGATGGTTTAAAGTAAGAATCGGCACCGAGTTTTCACCTATCACACCAATCAAAGCTGGCGTTCCACAAGGAAGTATCCTAGGCCCAATCCTCTACACCATCTACACTGCTGACATACCCACACATCCAAACACACAAATCACAACCTACGCGGACGACACCGCAATCTTATCAACACACTCCAATCCTATCCTAGCAACAGAAGCACTCCAACAACACCTGAACCTTATTACCAACTGGTGCAATCTGTGGCGGATCAGGTTAAACGAACAAAAAAGCCAACACGTTACATTTACGCTCAAACGACAAACCTGTCCACCAGTGCACATTTACAACAAAATAATACCACCATCGAACCAAGTCCGCTACCTTGGGCTTTACTTAGATAGTAGACTTACTTGGAACCCACATACACGATTAAAACGGCAAGAACTTAACAAAAGATATGGACTACTCAGACACCTTCTTGGACCAAAATCAAAACTAAGCATACATAACAAACTAACCGCTTACAAAACACTCATCAGACCTATTTGGACCTACGGAGTCGAGCTGTGGGGCTCGGCCAAATCATCCAATATCCAACGAATTCAGTCTTTTCAATCTAAAGTTCTCCGCCGTATCCTCAATGCTCCCTTCTACGTCACAAATCAAACGATCCATAAAGATCTTAAAATCCCTTTCGTGAAAGATCTTATCCATACACGCTTCTTCACTTTTCACTCTAAACTCTCCCTCCATCCTAACTCACTAGCCCTAACTCTTTCCTCAACATCTCACCCTTACAATCCTCCACGCCGTTTAAAACGACGATGGCCTCGTGACCTTCTATCTAACCCACCGAATTAACTTTTACTCCCCCCCCCCCAATTAAATAAAAGTTGGTTTCTCTCCCCACTTTATATTATGTACAGATAGCAATAAATAAAATAAACACCTTTAAATAAAAAAAAAAAACAAGTTTTTAATGTTAAGGAGCCAATGTGAAGTCTATGGAAGCTAACAAAAATCTTTAAGCTGTATGATGATGAAGATACTAGGAAGCAGGGGTTGTGCTCCCCTGGCCCTGCGGCCTTCTGGGTTATTGTACCTTCCTAGTTTCCTAGTTCAATCTAAGCTACTCAATCCTTCATCTCAGAAAAGGTCATTGTTCGTTGTTACAATTTCATTCCCGAGGCTTTTTCTGTATGCAAGGTTATGCCTCCATTGAGCCGTTGCTTCGCATTCGAAGATGATATGGGTGGGTGTTTCTTTCTGCTCATTACATAATCTGCAAATGGGATTATCGTTATATATGGCCATGCTATGTTGATAGTTTCTCGTTTGCAAGGGATCCCATCACTCCTCTGAGTCTGCCCCTCTTCAACTTCAGCAATGAGTTTGTAGGTCTTAGTGAGGGTTGTTTTGGCACAAGTTTACCGTAACTAGAGGTGCTTAGAGTTTATCCACTCCTCCGTTTGTTTTATTTGGATTGATTCGGTGATGGAGGATTGTATTTATTTTTGTTATCACAAGTAAAGGTTAGGGGCACATGTATGGTCTTGCAGATCCTACTCTGGCCAGTGTGTATGCATTTTCGTCACCCAAAAGTCCTTGTGCCCTGGCACCCAAGATTGATTGTTCATTGACTATTTTTTATGTTATTTTTTTTACACGCTAATGCTTTAATGGCTAGGCTATTAGATCTTATGAGGATTTTTTGCCAGTGTAATAACCTTGTGAGATTTTCTAGGGCACAAGCGTTCATGGCATGTTAAAGCTGTATAGAGAGCGGTAACCTATACGTAAAGGATGACAGTAGTCCTTTTTAGATCGGGGTTTTTTGGCCACTCCCAATATGTTCAAGTGCTTCAAGTGAGCCAGGAATGTCCGGTTTGCAGAACTGCAACGATCCCGAGGTTCAGTCTTAATTGAGCATGGACACCTCTCAAGACCTTAACCTAACCTACTTGAACTGTTTGCAACGAAATATTTTATGACAGCGACTGAATTAAATGCTAAAAAAGTGCTTGTTTTGTTTGTGCCTATTTGCCGGCCATTTCCGTATCTGTTTCTTTTCTTCTGCTCCATTCTAGAAAAACATAGGAAAACCTGTCGAGCATTAAAGGCATGAGTACAAACGTTGTAGTGGCGAAAAACACGAATTAGGACGTTGTTGAAAAAAGGGAGAAGACAAAGCTTTTCTTTTCAGACCTGTTACGGAAACTGACACAATAGATCAATAAAGAACTACAATCCCAAACCGGCATCAACTTGTTGGATCCAATTTTCCCTCGTTCTACCCAAACCACCACCGCTAAGTTCGGTAAAAAGTCTATATTGGAAAAAAGCAAGGAAGCTTTCTGCGGATTTTCTAATTTTCCACCTAGAATACAAAACAACTTGTGTATGTAACAGCGAGTGTTAGGTTATTAAAAACAGAAAAAAAGTCAAGCGGAATGAGATGAAAAACTATCAACATTTATGTAGAAGGTGCATTATTCAATATTCATATACAGGACTTACGAAACTATAAAAAAGCCGCTTACCCAGCTGGAGTTAACTTCGATAGTACTAACAGTTTTGAGAATTAACTCGGATAATCAAGATGCCACTTCGAAACTACGACCGCTCAATAAAATATGGCCAATAACTGTATCTATTCCCCGGGGCAGATGTTGTGAGCCGGGCTCCTTGTACCAACAGTTATTAGAGTTATCTTAATTGAAAAGTCCGGGGGCATGTATTCGCTCTACGCAAGCCTGGACATGGAACTTACATTAGCTGTGGAATTTTTATCTCGCCCTGGGACACCTCGGTCTAATTGAACGGGGGACCGGCAAAGATCCTGTTTCGACTATCGCCGGCACCATTAGAACCGCTCCGAGAAAGCTCGGCTAAACCCTTGTACTTAATATGTTAAGCTCGAGCTCTTTGATTTTCAACCGAAGCTTTAATCAAACGGATTATGTTGGTTTTAATTGGAAGATTAAAAATGCTCGTTAACATGTTGCAAGATCAACAGGTGTACTTACAATTAAGGATTACAAATGTGGCAATTTACAGTAATCTGGCATGGAAGTATCAACCTCGTAAAAGAAGAAAAACTAAGGGTTGTAAAATTCCCTTAGCTATGAATTCTGTATTCCCTGATTTTCCTCGCCCCTGTTGAAATGTAAGTCGGCTCTCCTCGTCCCCTAATAAGTACTTCCGATTCCCAAAAAGCGCGACTGGGCCTGAATTATAAGAAGGCCCGTTTCCTCGTTCTTCGCACAAATCGGGACGGCTACTTGACTAAGCCGTGAGGAATGCAGAGGACAATGGTGTTAAGTACGTGGCGGAAGACCGGGACTTATTTGGACCCAAACCGGCGGAAACCGGTGGATAACCGAGAGTCAAGGCACTGTGAACACGTGCTTATTGAATATCGCAGCTCTATACCATTTAGGTGCCATTTTGGCAGAAGAACAATCCAGTGCCGTATATGTACTGAATACAGCCCGTATTTCTATTCAACACATGAATATTTTTTTCTAACATAGAATTGCTACTACATGAATAAGCGGTAAACCTGATTATTGTTCCTCATATGTATGTAGAAAAAAACGCATATTTTCTGGACTAAAGGTAAATTCTTATTCTGAAATAGTAAAAACTTGCTTTTTACAAGCATCATATGTCAACATAAATTTTGTAGGAAAAGGTGGTGAAACGAGGTCATGAAGTCTATTTTTAAGTAAGAAAGTAAAGTTTTTATCTTGTTCGGTATCTTGTTCGAACAGGAAAATCAATGGTGCGGGAAAGAAACCGTGCTTAATGTGAGCTTGCAACGGTACCACACAATTTCGTTGTCTGAAGATTACAGCTCACACTAGGTATCTGGCTAATTTAGAGCTAGAGAGGTTTAGAGATACCGGGGACAAACAGGCTGAATCTGAGGAGGTGAAAAATTGTTGACGGAGCAAACAGGTAAATATTTACACCAAAGGAAAAAAAACACCTAAACGAAGGCGGGCCGAGTGTTCGACCACCGTTATCTATCGGCTCTTATCAGAAAATGGACTCACCCGTTGAACGGATAGGCTGCGAACGCCGCGTCGTACGGATGGTACACTGATGGGTACGGCCAACCGGGCGCACCAGATGGAAGGCCGTCTTTCACATCCAAACCGACGCCCTGTAACAAGAAAATCAATTCCATAAATACATCCATAAAAGATACATAATTTTCAAGACACAAAACTCCTAAACATTGACCATGGTATTAGTGGTTATAACGGGAAGACTATCGGTTCGTTTAGTCCGTATTGGGTCTGTGTGATTTTTGTCAAGTCGCTGCCTTAGATAAAGGGATTCAAGTCAAACGTTGGGTGTTGTGGACGAGGGGTCAAACAACTTTACAATACGTTTTACATATTTTAATTAATTAAAAAACCATGGGCCATTCGCCCATATTCGAACCCAAGGCCCCAGCGAGGCAAATACTAGTTGAACATCCAACCTCTCGGCACTGCGGTCCCCTTCACATCGCTTTTATGGCTAAAATAACTCAGACACAAAAACACACCTTATTACTTTTTTCTTACTCACAGAAATCAAAAAGACTCAACACTGAAGATGGCGAATTGCCGAAACGCATCTGACCGTAGAAACACATCAGGAAGACAAGGATGATCGGTCGTTGAATAATGCTGCTTATTATATTTGATCAACGTGATGGCCACTTCGATACATTTAGACATTTAACTATCTTCAGGTGACCGCAATAACTGAGTGGCTAGAGTGTCAGGCCGTCTAGTTTCTTCACTGTTAGGTCTGTCTGATTTTTCTGATGTTCAGTCGCTTTTATGACAAAAATAACTCCGACACTCCATCCATCAGGCGCATCTTCTCCGGTCTTATCCTCCAGTTTTTACACTTTTTTTGCTTGGATAGAATACAAAATTGCGTTATCTACCGCATAGATTGTAATGATGGAGGAATGCTCAGTAAAGTCAGCATTGTAAATGATAAACAGAATCGGATCAAGAATGTTCCCTTGCGGGACGCCAGCTTTTATTTGTCTAATTGATTATTCGATGTCAAACCTCACACTGAAGCTTATTTCACAGATTTCCAATGCTTTTTCCACAACTACGTTCATGGAGTGGACAGAATAATTTTGACGTTTTTGCTTATGGAGCTAATATATGCAGAGCAGCAGCTACATTGGTTTCTTTGACTTTTCGTTGTTTTTCAGAAGAACTGTTCTTCATTTTCTCGAGCATGTATTACAATTTCTTTATTGGTTGAAAAAGGATCGGGATGAGGCCCACGTAGAGCACTCAATTCTTTGTCGAGCTTTCCGTCAGATTTATTGCCATCATCAGGACTCAAAATTACGGAACCTTTGACATTATTATTGATACAACAAATGTGAAAAACAGAGAGAACGATTTATATAACATTCTCGAATTGTAAATTAAGAAACAGTTGAAAGCATTGTGAGGACGCCGGTGTGCGGGGAGGTAACTATACGGTAATACATGCCAACTTGTTAGAAGGCCCCATTCTGATTTACAACACACTGTGTATTACCATATTTAAATAATAGAATTGTATAAAAGCTCTACATATAAATATCTCTAATTTTATAAACAACTGAATATAGAACAAAACAATTTTGAAACAAGTATCACAAAACAGTCTAACAATGATATATACAGCATGGATTATAATTAACAAATAAACTTAAACTGCACATAATTGGTTTTTGTTATTAAGGCTATTGTTTTTTTGAGAATTGAGCTGTAGATCACACTTAATTTTGCTATGTCAGTTTTTCGGCTGTAAGAGTAGGCATCTTGTCAGATGTGCAACATTTCTTTGACCAGTCTTCTGCCTAGATTGATTTCCTTGTCAACCACTGAAACGTTGTAAATGTCAAAAGTATGTTGATACTTGTGGCAATGTTGGGTTAGTGCAGTGCCTTGTTTCCTTGTCCCTGGTATCATAAATGTTGCCTACACCTCTTAAGCAGTTGTTTTGTTTGTCCGTAGTATACAACACGACAGTCATTTTCTTGTATACCACATTGCTGCGAAGTTGGTTGGCACTTTTGACTATAATTTGGAGAAAACGGAATTTCCAATTGTGTTTTTGTATTTAAACGTAACCTTTAAAGTGGGATCCCAGCTGTCTTTTTGATCAGGCTTGACAACTTATTCGAGATGCCTAGGACTTAGGTGGTGTCTTTTATACATGGCGATAGTTTTGTCTTCAAATACAAGTTCTCATTGTGTTTTAAGAGGCTATCTTGAATTAACTTATTAATTAGTGACAGGATATTGGATTTTGACTAGCATTTGTCTGACTACTATTTTGTTTTTATTATGGAATTTAGAAGAACTAAGTTTAAAGACTGTATCTATCAAATTTTAAGTTGTATTTCTACGTATAAGTCTACCTGGGCCTCATCCCCGATCCTTTTTCAATCAACGTTAGAATTTGACAAGGATGATCACAAAATAACTACAAACAATTTCTTTGCTTCTGTTTTACCGATAATTCATGTCAACCCTACATTAAATACAATTAATTAAGGTTTTTAGTTGAGATGAAAAAAAGTCAATGGCACGAGCGGGATTCGAACCCACGATCTTCGGCTAGATACGCCGCTACTCTACCACGTGAGCTATCGTGACTTCGATCCCCTCGGGCACTAACTTCCCATCCCAACCCCATCTTTTTGAATTTTCCAGTGTAATCGGATTGGATTCACGGCGACAAATGAAATGGCTACGGAGAGCTTTAGTGAAGTGTACTTCATTTCAATTCATTAAATTCATATTTTTCGTGGTCCGCTTGACCAATTAATAACATTCAAATAATTAAGGTTTCACGTTGAGATAAAAAAGTCAGTGTCACGAGCGGGATTCGAACCCAAGACCTTCGGCTTGATCCGCCGCTACTCTACCACTTGAGCTATCGTGACTTCGATCCACTCGGACACTAACTTCCCATCTCAGTCTCACCGTTTGAATTTTCCCTCCTTTTTGCCATTTTTCAAAAAAACAAACAACTTTAAAACGATTTGAACCTCATTTCGTGATAATATAAATAAAAACGAATAAAATAATGAACTAAGTTTAAAGACTGTGTCTATCAAATTATAAGTTGTATTTCTACCTATAAGTCTACCTGGGCCTCATCCCCGATCCGTTTTTAATCAACGTTAGAATTTGACAAGGATGATCACAAAATAACTACAATTTCTTTGCTTCTGTTTTACCGATAATTCATGTCAACCCTACATTAATTACAATTAATTAAGGTTTTTAGTAACCTCTTTCAATTAATACCGTTATGTAAGGTATTGCTTGAGATAAAAAAGTCACTGGCACGAGCGGGATTCGAACCCACGATCTTCGGCTTGATACGCCGCTGCTCTACCACTTGAGCTATCGTGACCTCGATCCTACATTAAATGTTATGAATAAGTAAATGTATCGAAAGACAAGTATCGAGTAAAAGTACTAAATGAAAAGTTTTTTTTTTCTTTTGGCTGGCGAAGTAAAAAAACCTGAAATTTAGTTGTTAGCGATCACTTTTGGTCTGTATAATACCGGTGCATTTATTTCATTTTGGTTTGAACTACTTGTACTTTATAGGGTTCCAATCTTCGTAGAGGTCATTAGACGGGTGAAAAAAGGCTAAATGCAGGGTTCACCGAGTTTTTGTACTATTTCTTCTAGCGCGATCAATGAGCGAATATATTTCGGAATTTTGAAAATATTAGCTGTTCTTAAGACAAGAGGAGTGTTTAATTTGCCGTTGGTTATTATAAAGTTTTATGACGTCTAGATCAGACCCACAGCAAGGGTTGGCTTGGAAAGCCACTCTTTATTATTATAATCGACCAGACTCACGTACAATAATTGCTCCGGCTGTAATTATGTCCGTTTGAAATTGTGAATGCGCCTGTGATATATGTGTGTTGATGCATTGGTAGCCGTGTCAGCCTTGTTAGGACCGATGAGAATAAGTCCTTCATTAGCCCCCTTTACGAAGCGGTCTCCATCCGCAAGGCCACCTCTTTCAACCGGTTATTAATGAGCGCCCTACTGTCAGCTAATTATTAATAACACACATCATAATTCAAGTCGGCCCTCGTGATGTCTCAATACATTCCGTCCGGGCTGACTTCTTTACCGGGGCCTTTTGTACGACTGTCAGTCCCGCCTACCACAGACGCTTACCTCATTCACGGGTCTGAAACTCTTTTTACGGACGGCTGGGTCAAACCGTTATTTCGTAAATTTTTACCGATTTGTGCGTGTTTTTCTGCAATTATTTTTTAATGAGTTCGTTACCATGGCGCTTATTAACATCTGACCCCTATGGAATAGTCATATCGCGCAAATTCCGCAATTTCTCTTCTTTTGTACATAACAATGGATTTCGTTCCTTCTAGGCTCAACGATAAAAGAGGCTCCCAGTATTCTGCAAGAAGGGTTCGACACTGGATAATAATGCTATGAGCATCTTCCATAAATATGAATGTCATGAGAGGGTAGCTTCGATTCCTTGCTTATTTAATTTGGGCTTGTAATTTCATCCTCAGTATCAGTACTCTTCCAGATTGGCTTCATTTGTATACTTTTATACAGATTAAATTGAGTTCCGACTACTTCATTTTGGTGCCATATTTTACTTGAGTCCTAGATCCATTCATACAACAGCATATTCATTCCTAGACTGGTTGCTCAATAGACCAATATTGGTCGCGGTACGTAGTGACCAACACGTCTCATTTTAACCTGTAATCTTCATAGGCAGTTTTACGCCTGATTCAAACCCCCTTTTGGAACAAAGATTGGTCTGGAAATTATATTCAATTTTAAATATCCCATTCTTGTAAGATTACGAATAAGATTCGGATATCCTCACGTTATTAGGGGTATTCACGATGTTCATAACATGTTAACTCGTGTTAACTCGAATAGAGAAATGTCCAGTAAGATTGTGAAAGCCCCCTCCTCTTTTCTTAACATGTTAAACGTTAATTTTTTCGCAATGCTGCGCGTGGCGATTGGTAGAACCAAAAATAAAGATATAACAGTCCTTGAAGCATTGTTGTTGTTTGTTTTGGTTTTCTTTTGTGTTAAATTGTAAGATGCCAGAAGTTAACAAAAATTG